GTGTGTGTGTGTGTATGCGCGGTGGCCTCCGCCTGCCAGCCCTTATCTTTCGCGCCCGCTTTCTCTCTCTCGCGTTTTATCGTTTTCATGCTCTCCCTCTCTCGCGCTCTCTCTCCCCCCCTCTCTCGCGCCCGCTCTCTCTCCCCCCTCTCTCTCTCGCTTTCACGCCCTCCATTTCTCTCTTGCTAGCCCTCTCTGATTCTCCGGTATTCCATCTCGCTCCGGCGGTACTTATTGGCTGCTAAAGTTGTTTACCTAAACACCACTGCCAGTGTGCGCTTTCAAATAAACAGCGTATTCGTCTGTCGATTGTCAGCGCTGTGGGGCGATGAGCGAGACGACATGAGCTATGGGTTTATGATGTGGAGAGATAAGCAAGAGGATACGAACGATCAGTTATATAGCGATATGTACAGATGAAGGAGAGGATACGAATTATCAGTTACTGAAATTGAAAGAGGATGGGGAGGTGAGGGAGAGAGAGAGAGAGAGGGAAAGTGACGACCCCACACACAAGCAAGCAAACAAACAAACAAACAGAGAGCGAGAGAGAGAGAGAAAGAGAGAGAGAGAGAGAGAGAGAAAGAGAATGAGAAAGAGAGAGAGAGAGGAGAGAGAGAGAGAGGGGAGAGAGAGAGACAGAGAGAGTGAGAGAAGAGAGAAGAGAGCGGAGAGGAGAGAGAGAGAGAGTGTGTGTGTGAGTGAGAGAGAGAGAAGAGAGGGAGAGTTGTTTAGCGACATGATGAGATGAGGGACGATACAGATATATATATATATATATATGTATATATATATATATGTATATATATATAAATAATGAAATAAAAAAATATAATATTCGTATTAGGATTCTACTATGCAAATCGCAGCATTACAACAGCGTGAACTATTATGAGTCACTATACTCACGACCGCCTGTCTAAGCGGCTGCGTCTCTCTCCCCACAACCGACTCAACAGTTGATATACTAAACAGTTCGCTACACAGTGGGCCGACATAAGCGCCTTGTTTGTGTTTCCTAACCCCAGCTGATACTCTGTTGACGGCAGTTATACGCGTACACGTGCGGTCGGGTTGCACGGCGGTGTAAGCACCTCTCGCATCGCGCGCTGTGTTCGTCTGCGCGCGGGCTATTCACGTTCACTTGTCACTCCCCAGGGAGATGAAACGCGTCCACGCGAGTTTAGGCAGTGGTCCGTTCTAACACCCGCCTCCTCTTCCTCCCCGGTCCCCTCCTCTTTAACGCCTCCTCCTCCTTCTTCTCCTCCTCCCCCTGCTCCTCGGTCTCTTCCCCCACCCCACCCACCACCTTTTCATCCTCCAACACCCACTGTAAAAGACCTCCTATAAAACTCATCCTATAATGTAAAATTAACTCTTCTACCAACATCCATACTGCGACCGTGACCGCCGCTCTACCCCTCCTCCTTCTACGCGATGCTGATGAGAAGGGTGGAGAGCTAGCATAGGGAGTACGTGGGGGACGGTGCGGCGCGTAGCACTAATAGCAACATGAGGGTCGGGTTGCCTTGAAAAGCCTACACAGAGTAAACTGCGCCAAGATCTGCCTATCGTCACCGTCATCAGTCAAATGAATAACAACATCACCGCCCCTCGTGACGACTCGCTGAACTAGATCCATACCTCTGGTAGCCATCTTATTGTAGCAGATACGATAGCAGCCAAAGTCACAATGTGCGCGGAGCAAAATAGTATACGGAACAACACTGAATGAACCAGAATGAATCAAAAAGCTGGACGTCAGGTTAATAGAACACCAACCAAATCAGAAACTTGAAGTTGAAGAATTGACCTGAATCTATATAGCATGTACAGAGTGATAGAGAGGAGCAGGGAAGGCATGGAAAGCTTGGGCGGAAAGCAACTTAGTATATAGAGAATGTGATGGGGGATACTCCGAGCTGTCATCGTGAAGGAGGCTGCGTGTGCTTACGTCACGTGACAAGGCGGTATTGCGTCACGCCCGATGTCAGCGCCCTCCCACGACGACATCTCAGCACACCGGCTATTGATGACGCAACTAGTGGCGTGGGCCGTGACGCAATCGCTGACGCAACCGCCGACGGTGCGACGACATTCGACGAATCCCCTGACGTCTCCACCGTGCCCGCAGCGCGTGTTCGTCTCCCTGTGTGTACCGGGCCGGTTGTAGGGTGTCCGCGGCACAGGATTGCGAACGGAAGGCGAGGATAAACCCGCTACACGCGCGGGGCTGGACACGACCGCCCGCCGCGACGGTGACGTCACACGCGCTGACGTCACACACACACACACACACACACACATATACACACACACACACACACCACCCGCCGTGACGGCAGACGACCGACACGAGTTATTTGTTGTGCGGACTTCAACGCTAAACCCTTCACGGACTCCCCGCCACGACGCGCGCTGCCCCTCTGACGGACCGCCAGGCTTAGAGCCAGATGACCCGACACGCCGGGAAGCCGCATGTAGCGTCGCCTGTCTGGCCACAGCTGACCAGAGAGCGGCAGCGCTGACCGCTGATGCGATGCAGAGATGCCGCTGGATGCGACCATAGTTAGTAGAGGGAGACTAGACTAGAGGTCTCCCTCTACTAACTGTGATGCGACGAGGTTCGCGAGGCCTTGGCGAGATAGCAAGGATACTGGATGCATGCGCAGTCGGGTGGCTAATTATTGTATGCTCGACAGACTGACAAGCATTCTTTATTCTTCTCAGCGCCCCTTGCATCTCGATCTACTTCTAGCTCGATCTGCACTTCTTTTCCCGCGTTTCTTGGCCTATCTCTGTCAGTCTCTCCCTCCTCTCTGTCGCAGCAACAACAACAGCAGCAGCAGCAACAGCAGCAGCAGCAGCAGCAGAACCACCATCACCACCACAGGCAATCGCAGCAGCAGCAGCAGCAGCAGCAGCAGCAGCAGCAAAATCAACAACAACAACAACAACAACAACAACAACAACAGCAACAAAAGCAGCAGCAGAAGAAACAACAACAACAACAACAACAACAACAACAACATCAACAACAGCAGCAGCAGCAGCAGCAGCAGCTACAGCTACAGCAGCGGTATAGGATAATTTCGGCATTTTACCTGTGAATTGGCCGACAATTTGGCGACGAGGTTCACGAACAGGGGACGCTTCTATCGGTCAGACGATCGGCAGGCGATTACGGGATCGCGGCGGCCGTAAATGGTCAGCGCACAATGGCGTGCTGTGTGGCCCGCCTGCGATGACCAGCGGCCGACGTAATTCGGCCACTTATCGTATAAAGTTGTTGGCCGTCAGTCGGTTCCGCCTGGCCGATTAAGACACAGCTTATAGGGCCGGTGCAGGGAGCTTATAAGAGCGACGAAGGTAGATTATAAGCGCCGATGCCTATCGCCTCAGCGGCCGCCTCCTGGTATCGATGCCGGTTGCTTCGCATCTTTTTCTGTTTAAGATATAACGCGTTTAGCGCTACTGGATGACGCTCTCTCTCTCTCTCTCTCTCTCTCTCTCTCTCTTTCTATCTCTCTTCCGCTCTTTCACGCTCTCTCTCTCTATCTTCCTTTCCTCTGTCTCTCACTCGCGAGATCGCTTCATTCTCTATTATGTTTCTCTAATCGGAAATTCCGTATTCATGTCTGAGTCTCCATGATGTGTACACGAATAAAAGCTGCGCATTGTGTTGATTCTCTGCAGCGCATTGTCGCAGCCGTCCCCGATGAACCCCTGAACAGTGTTTGTATTTAGAATTCTAAAAAAAAGTCCGCGCTAATACATGCGCTTACCTACTAAGTCGATTTCCATGTAGCTATAATTATGCAGGCATAAATATTCCAGGAGATTTTGCCCGTAATCGGATTATAAAACATCAATGGTTCGCCGGACATACCGGCGGGGACGTGACCCGAGAATTAAACACGTGCGGCCGACGTCGCGCCGACGCCACAAT